TTCTTCTCGGGGGAGGAGCAGGCATCCACTTAGTATTTGGGGCTGAGGCCAGCCCCCCAGACCTCTCCACTGTTTCCCTACTCCGTGCCGGCATGTTGTCTTCACACTTTGGAGCACTGGGTTGAAGTCTGGTCCTTCTTTTCCTGTGGCGTTATAAACAATACCCTCCCCTTGGGTGGGTTAGCGCCCCGTGCCTCCGCTACCCATTTCTTCCTTATTTTCATCATTTTTTTTAGTTCCCTTTCCCCACCTCCTCCCCAGTTGTCTACCATGTGCATCCCTGAAGTCACTATTGGAACAGCCATCTTTAGAAACTATTTGGACTTGATGGATATGATGCATTTTGATAGTAGCATTGGTTTAGGGGAAGAACTGCTTCAGAACTGAAAAACCAACCTTGAGGTTAAGTGGTTAAGGTGGGGGTGGGGTGAGGTTGGGGAGTCAGGGGGACTTCATCTTTTCACTAGATGTAGCACTTTGTAACTGAATTGTAAATGTGTCTTTTTTATTTTTTATTTAATTTTTTAACAACTTAACACATGCTTTTAGATTTCTTCAGAGGCCCAACTGTATCAAATATCCGCCTGGCTGGCTTAGAGTATGTCCTGCACTTCACTGCACTGAATGGGAAGATTCATTTCCGAAGCTATAAGTAAGTCCCTTTGCTCAGCGTGCTTTTGTTAGACCTCACAATTGGTGGTGTAGGGACTGTTTTCTAACACTCACACCTGGAATGGGTATCAAACCAAAAGTTTGGAGAATTTTCAGAAGCGTTGTGGTTGCCTCCAGTTTTCCAGGGCCCCAGAGACTTTGACACCATGCTCTCTCTCAGCCTAAAACACCAGTTCCGTCCTGACCTCCCCTGGTTTTCTGCATATCTCCTTTTGTTGCCTTACTGAGTTTGGGGTACTCACTGTGCTATTCGGAGGCAACCCTAGGGTGTCTCCAAGCCCTGGGTGTGAATGGTGGAGTCTGACAGGAGCAAGAGGACATAGGGGCTAGATTCACCCCACTTCTCTCTCCAGCCTAGTTCCTCTATCTTCTTCCACTGTGATATAAATCCTAGCAAGCAGACTTTTCTTTTGGGAAGTAAGCTTAATACTTTGCACTTTTATAAAAGAAAGGATAGTACTGACTGGTGCAGCCCCCCTTTCCCAAAGAGGACATTGACTTCTGCAGACTACCTGTCTCTGTACAATGGAGTCAAACTTGGATGTGTGCTGTTAGCTTCCTCTGGGCTGAGGTGCCTGTGCGGTTCGGCCGTTTGTGGGCCGGAGCACTTCTCACCTGGCTTCACATTTCGGGAGTGGTGCATGTGTTGGTGCAGGGGCAGTGTGGGTCTGGAATAGTTGGGAGGACCAGCCAAGTAAGATGAAAAGATTCACATCTTTTGGCAAAGAATGATTTCCATCTTTTGACTCAACACAGAGATACTTTCTTTTTGCATATCATGAGTACTTACTACTATTTTTTATGTTTTCCTTGCATTAAAAAGATAAAAGACCAAATACAGTAAATACCCAAATAACTAGTGTTTTCATGATAAAAAGCTAATTCAGATTGAGAGCGTAAGTGTGTTGCTTGAATATCTGTGCTTGGTTTTGGGACTTCCAATATCTGTTATTAGCTGGAGATTGCTGTTTAGAGAATAAGAAAGCAAAGTTGAAAAATCCTGAGGAAAAAAAAATATATATATAATCTTTAAAAAATTTGTTTTTATATTTTAATCTTTTTGAAAACTGTTGAAGCATATAGACTCAGGGGATACAAAAGTTGCTCTGATTGAGAAATTAATAATAAGGACAGCTTAAAATCCTTTCATGGTGAACAAGTTCAAGGAAAGTGTTTGCTTATACCAGAACCTATAATTACTGAAAGGAAAGATTAATTTGTAAGAATTAAATAAATGCAGAGAAAATAAAGCAAATTGGGCAGAAGATGAGCAAATAAGACTTCAGAATGAGCAGTGTAACTACTTCGATCTCAACCCCCCAGTTAGTTTACGAAGAATGTAACTTGAATCACTGACAGCTTAGCATGGCCTCTCACATAATGAAGACAGAAAGTTGAGTTTGTAGCACCAGAGAACTGTGTGTAAAAGTTTACACAGGGTTCATATGCACCTTGTGATGCCTGTTAGTGATTGATTTGAAATTGAAAATTGACAGCAAGATTGAATGCGAGCTACCATGTACGGGGCAGGGCAGTGGAGGTGGGGGGACAGGAAACCATCACAGAACACGTGGCTCAGCTTTGCAGTCAGGATGTGCCACTCTGGGAGGGGTGGTGGGAGGCGGAAGGATGCATCACCTCTGAGCTGGTAATGAGGCTCCAGGCCAGGCCACTGCTGCTTCGGGTGTCTGTGTCTTCTCTGCTGCATGTAACGAGTCCATATAGGTCATGAGATCTGTGAGTCTATAGTTGTGCTCTATGGGAGATGGTGCACATGTGGCTGGGAGCAGGCCAGAGGAGGGTGTCGGAATGAAAGCAGCCCCAGGTGTTCTCACGGTGCAGTCCTGGGCCTGGGGCTTTTTCGTGGCTCAGTAAGCCCATTAGCAGTTTATCTAGAAATGGTAATGCTTAGTATTCACAGATGTAGTACTTTGTGAAGAGTAATGTGGCTTCTCAGATGGTTTTGCGCTTCTTGGATGAGAGGATCTCTGCACATGAAAGGACATGAATGTAACTGACCTTGTAGGAGAATAAGCGCCTGACGGACCTCTGTGCACACCTGCGTGAGTGACCATTGCATGCAGGCTCTGACTATGGTCAGAGCCATTACTGTGAAGCACACAATCTTGAGTAAAGGAGCTCGTTTAGGAGCCCTGGTGGCAGAGTGGTTACACCTGCTGCTGTGATCGGCAAGGTTAGTAGTTCAGAACCCCCAGCGGCACCTTCTACTCCCAGAAAGAGTTGTTAGAACTCAGAAACTCACACCGACCCAATGAGCTGGCATTGACTTGATGGCAGTGAGTGAACCCCACTCTTTTCTCTGGTATTGGTTAGGTTTTATGGGAAGACATAAGGAATAACAGGAAGCAATCAACATACCTTAAAAGGCCAACACAGTGTTACAAGGCAGAGTTTAATGAAAACAGAAATAGTCAGCTTGTAACATGAAGGATGTAATAGTAATTTTACAAAGGAAAACTATATTCCAGATACTCAGAGAACCTCTTGACTTATAGGAACTATATGAAGTTGGTATTCCAACCTGAAGGAAGAGAAACTAGTGGGGTATTCAATTGTAGATAGAGAAAACATGACATTCCTTATATGACTATACTTGACATATTTATCTCATTTGATATATTTGATATATTTAAGCCTAGCTTATTTTAAAGCTATGATAGAAATCATAGTCTCAGTATTTTAGATTCTAGATTTCACTGTAAAATTTTGGATAAAAGGATAGTATGATAGGCCTCTTTTACCAGAAACTATATGAAAAGTTTTCTGATGCATCTATATGAAAAGAAACTATATGAAAAGTTTTCTGATGCATCTATCAATTTGATAACCCTGTGAACATGGTTACAAAGTGGTCAAGATAAAAAGATTATCTACACAGATATATGCTGATATAACATAATTATCCAATAATGGAATACATGTTATGAGTGCTGTCAGGTTGACTTTGAACTCACCGGCCCTGCATGGCCGAGCAGAACAGCTGCACAGGGTTTTCTTGGCTGTAAGTTCTATAGAAGGCAGTAGCCAAATCTTTTTTTCATGGAGCTGCTGGATGGATTTTGTGTTAGTCTGGATTGACTAGAGAAACAAATTCATAGACACTCGTGTATAAGCATTTTCTCCTGGAAGAGTTGTCAAGGGCCCTCCTTTAGACCTTTTTCCTGTGCTTGCCCCCCTGCTGGGCATCATGGGGATATACTAATTTTAATGTAAAATGCTAGCATAGCTTTTCTTGGTTGATGTTTTAACACAACCTATTCTTTCCTTGTTTTCCTTTTTCATAACTTACTGTCATCAGAATCGAAGTAGCAACCTTAACTGCTCTTGTTCAAGTGGGTAGAAATCAGTGTCTCTTCATCTCCCCTCTGTAGCCAGGGACGCACCTGCGTGAGTGCACTGCTGGGTTGGCCCAACTGTGTGTGGCATTCTTAGGACCCTATGCTGCCCAGGGCCTATTGCACTTGGCTTCTTGGTGTTTGCTGCTCTCCTGGTTTCCTCTTTTGTTCTTTTTGCACTTCTCTCATGTACCTGCTGCCTCTCCCACAGCTTCGCTTCTGTGTAAAAAGGCCGATCTTTTATAAACACCATTAGTCCATCAACCCCTTTTACCTTGTGGATTCCCAGTCACTGGAACAAATTAAGTATAACTTATATAGGTCTCTATCTCTGCGCGCGCGCGCGCACACACACACACACACAGTTATATGAAGATTTTAATGTTTATTCCAATTTACAGAGGCCAATAAATGTCTGCTATAGAGAGAGGTTTATTCTGAGTGAGTTGATTTACCACCCACGGTCTCAGAAGACTTAGTTAATCATTGTTCATAAACTGTCTCAGTTTTTATAATCATTAAGTTCAACCTTGTAGACAATTTATGGAACTTCCGTTCTCGTCAAAGGAGCCCTGGTGGCGCTGTGAGGTCAGCTGTGGACTGTTCCCCTACAGGTTGGCACTCTAGACCCACCAGCCACTTGGTGGAAGGAAGATGAGCCAGCCTGCTCCTGCGCAGTGGGCAGCATGGGGAACCCGGCACCGGCCCACTGTGCGGGGGATTGACTACAGCTGGGGGTTTTGGTATCTGTTTTGTTAGCAGATGTTTGTGCATAGGACTTTCCTCAAAGTGCAACTTGCTCTTTCCCCCTTCTATTCCTGCAGGCTGCTGCTGAAGAAATCTGGTTGCAGAACTCCACGGATTGAACTGGAAGAGATTGGACCCTCATTGGATTTGGTTCTGAGGAGAACACACCTGGCCTCCGATGACCTTTATAAGTTATCTATGAAAATGCCCAAAGCCCTCAAGGTGCCTGACTTGAACTGGTCTCATGTTATTTGCATATATCATTTTTGTTTCCTAAATGGATAGTCTATTGCATTAAAGGCTCCACATCATGAAAGTGATATAGATACAATCAGAGATGAAAAAGAAAAAGCAAACAAGACAGTTAGATAGGACGATAACAGAATCGAAGAACAGAAGAAACACATTTATACATTTGTTGCCATCATCGTTTTCAAAGCATTTTCATTCTACTAGAGCCCTAGTATTTCTTAAAGACAGGTACAAATTGTGTATCTGGAGTGTAAAGATCAAAAGGATATATACTTATGCTGAACATAGGGAATTCTCTTGATGCACGACAGTACTAAGGTTGTCTATGTGCTTGCTTCCCAAAGTGCTTACCTGTGGATCATTAAAAAGGGTCTGTATGTACATTTAAGTTTAAGAAAGATCTCTTAATGGGCTATAGAATCTGCAACATTCAAGGGTGCTTGGGTATAGCTAGTCAGATTGTTTTTACAGATTATTAAATGTAATATTCTTATGTTAATTATTGTTTTATAGCCAAAGATGAAGAAAAATGTCTCCCAGGACACTTTTGGCACAACTTATGGAAGGATTCACATGCAGAAGCAAGACCTAAGCAAATTACAAACCAGGAAAATGAAGGGGTTGAAGAAACGACCAGCAGAAAGGATAGCAGAAAATGAGGAGACTAAATCAAAGAAAATTAAACAAAATTGATGGAATTGAGCCAACAACTATA